GTTTTTGATTGATACATGCTACCAAGCTTCTCCCATAGTGTGTAAGCACTTTGTTCTTGAGCAACATGGTGGAACACACTATGATCTATCCATTGTCGAATTTGTGCGACAGTTTTTCGATTCATTTTTGTCCATTCTTCATCCGTCTTTTTATCCGGTTTCACACCATTATTATCAAGAGGATCCGCTAAATCCCTCAAATTTAGCAAATCCTCCATCCGAGGCTTCCACATATTGTAGTTTGTGGATGTGAGCGCAATCATGGTGTCCGACGATGATTTATCCATAATAAAACGCTCTATATATCTCGTACCTTATTTTCGAAGCCGAATTTGGACAAACAGAGCTCACCGTTGGATCCGGAATGGCCGAAAATGGTAAGAACCGGTCTGACCTCGTCCAAAACTGGTCTGGAAACGGGTGAACCGGCCTCCAAAAGCACGAACCGGTTCGGTCCGGTTCAGGCAGCAGCCCAGCAGGCGAATGACGTGGCTCTGCTCCCTCGGTGACGTGGCGATGACGTGTAGCCACGTGGCGTCTGACGTGGCTCACAGTGGACGACATATTATACCGTGGGATCGGTGTACCATGCGCATGGTACACCAATCCCAAATACCATACCGTTTTTTTACTCCGTATAACAAATGAAGCATACAAGACCACTTGCTGAATGATTGCATGCTCTCTCCACTCACACATCCTTCACTCACATTTCATTTTTCTTTTTCATTTGTTTCTTTTGATTTTTTTTATCATCAAAAGCTATAATGTTTCCAATTACTTTTTTTAATTTAAGAGCACAGAACATATTATAATTTTGTGATCAAATTTCATCCTTTCAAATAAATTAATTACTTTTTCTTTCTCTCTTAGTCCTTATTGATACACTTTTCCTTTTCTTTTCTTTTTATTCAACTAAAAATACAATAAAAAACTATCTATTTTTTCTTTAGAATAAATATTTTTTATATTAATACACTTATTTGTAATATATTTTTTCACATTCACATTTTTTCCTATAATATATTTATTATCTCTCTTATATGGAGTATGTTTTTAGTATTTTTTTAGACATTAAATTTGGTTATTTTGATTTACATTTGATAAAGTATGAGATTACATTTTCCTGTGCGATTTATATTTCTACAAGTGTGAGTTATGTTTATTGACAATTTCAGGACTTACATTTGATAATATATGAAGTTACATCTTCTTGTACGTGAGTTGCATCTTTTTATGAGTGAGTTACATGTTCATACGCACGAGTTACATCTAGACTTATCTCAAGAAGTTAAATTTTGCATATATCTAAGTTAGTTTTCAATCACTACGTGTTACATTTTTCATAATATGAGTTACATCACTAAATAAACCTCTGCTATTGAAAGAAAATAACCATTTCTTTGCACAAAAACTGATTCTTTTTGGCAAAAAAAATCCCCAAAAAAAAGTTTTGGCAAAAAAAATATTTTCTAAGAAACAATTTTTTATGGCCTTAAATATTAAAAACAAAACATATTCACTATTTACATAACGTAATTGAGCAATTAAGCTCCTTGTTTTCATTGTTTACAATTGATAGTATATGAAGTTACATCTTCTTATGGATGAGTTACACAATTTTATGCGTGAGTTACATCTTCTTGTACCCAAGTTACACTTAGACTTGCTTCAATAAGTTACATTTTGCATACACCTAGATTAGATTTTTTCATCGACATGAGTTACATTTTCCATAACACCTAGCTACATACCAAAATAAACTCCAACTATTGAAACAAAAAATTCATTTTTTTTGCAAACAAAAATGATATTTTGGCAAAAAAAAGATATTTAAAAAATATTTTATGGCCTTAGTATTAAAAACAAAACATATTTATTACTTATGTATAGTAATTGAACAATTAGACTACTTTTTTTCATTGTTTACATTGAAATCAACGTTTTATTTATTCTTCTTCGTATTAGAAAAGTTACCCCACAACTTGCCTGCAGTTACCTTGTATATTGACGTGAGTTACATTTCATTACACACAAATTACATCTTCCTGTCACTGGGAACAAAAAAGAATGTTACTGTTCACGCGTGAATTAGCTGTGGGAGCACCATTCTCACCATGGGCTGCTCCCACGGTATACCAACTGACAGCGGACGGCTCGGGTGGATGACGTGGCGGATGACTCGGCACCACGTATCGCTGACGTGGTCCAACGTGGCGATGACGTGGCAGCTGACGTGGATCGTCTTCTTCCTCTGGACTGCGTGATGACGCAGTGATGATGCAGGCAGTTTTCCGGCGGCGCGTACGGCCTCTTCCGGTGGCCAAAAAAATCCCCAAAAATATCAGATTTCTCGTCTCGCCGAGACGAATCTAACGGTATGATCAGATCCTGATTCCGAGCAAATTGAAAAATCACGATTTTCTAACCTGTAGAAATTTATCTGAAAATGAGAAAACAGTGTATGGAAACTCAACCTCGCTCTGATACCACTGGTTGGGATTGGAAAATTCTTCTATTCAATATCAAGAACAGAATTACAATAGGAGGAGCAAACTCTCACACTCAACTATTACAAAAACCAATCCTCACCAATACACTTCTACACTAAGAGCCCGTTTGGAGACCACTTTTTTCGGCTTATCAGGCTTATCATCCAGCTTTTTCACCAAACACGTAACTTTTACTTTCGTGTGCTGAATTGTGTAATAAGCAGAAAAAGTAAGGTTGGAGTTACTTTTCTGGCTGTATTGGCTGAAGTTACTGCAGAGGACCATTTTAGCTATTTTTACATGTAATTTTTTCTTTAATTTATTAATAAAATATATTTTTAAAATATTTTTTTCTTGAATCACCAGAATCAGCCAAAACAGCCACTTCAGCCAGAACTTCATAAATTTCAGCAGAATCAGCCAAAACAGCCGATTTTCGTGCTACCAAACGGGCTCTAAGTGTATTTCACTCTTCACACACTTTTCTCACTTTCTAAACTGATACAATGAACAACAATAGAACACTCTATTTATAGGGCTGATTTGGAGACATGAGGAAGTTGCATCCAAACTTCCTAGTTATCTCCATATCTTCTCCCACACCTATTTGTTGGAGAGCTCTTTCCAAGAAGGTGCCTCCATGTTAAGATGTCTCTTGGCAACTTCCAAGAAAGAATGTGGAAGATACCTACAGATGTTTAACGACATTAACAAATTTAATACTCAAATTTGATCGAAAGTAACAAGTATAATCCGAAATTCTAACAACGGTAGCATTGAGTCATTTTTATTTAAATTGTTCATCAAAATTGAGATTGTATTTGTGAAATCAAAATCAAATTTATTGACATGCTATAAATAAATAGTCGTTGTGCACAAAAATAAGACTAAAATGACAATGATCATATTTTTATAGTCTAAGAATATAATTATAGTCACTGAAAATTATCAAGCCAAATTTTTTGTTCAATTATCAATATTTTGATATTCTCGTGTCTCAGAATAATCTGCAATTTCTTTTTAGGTTTAAATATGATTATAGTTCACGCATATATGACACACTTTGTTTTAAGTCCCTGCTATTTTTTTTCATCCTTATAATATGCGCTATTTTGATTTTGGTCCATCTTTAATTTATCATTTTATAATTTTTTTGAGACAAGTATGAGAGTTAAAAACAATATAAAACCAATTATTCACATTTTTAAAAGATTTATTAAAAACCTGCTAAAAATGAAATTAAATATTTTTTCAATGACATGACAAAGAATAAAGGATACCTAAATATGACACACTTTGGTTTTAGTCCATCCCGGGATGATTTCATTGTCAAACGAAGGTTATTATAATTAGACTAAAGGGTCAAATAGGTACATGAATTAACTTAAAGTGTTCAATTAGCTCCTTATATAGGAGGTTCTGCTCGACCGTAACCAATTGAGGTGGTTCCCGATAGAATGTTTCGATGAAATGTTTTTATATCTTCTTCATTATTAGGGGTGGGCACAAAAGCCCGTAACCGTTTAACCATACCGAAAAACCGGAAAACCGTTATTTTTTTCGGTTAACCGTACCGATTTTAAATAAATCATGGTACGGTTAACCAACCGCAAAAAAAAATGGTACACGGTACGGTTATGGTTTTGAAAATAAGATATGGCCGGTTAACCGCTAACCGGTAATTCAAATAATACATGCTTCGTATGTAACCGGTAAGCTAATTTAAGGTCGTTGGTCGTATATTTCAAAAAACACTACCTGGAATCCTAGATACATATGAAACAACTCGCCTACTTTTTATTCTGTAATAATTAATAAGATTAGAACTTCATCAATTCTCAAATAACTTTGATACCGGAGTATTAAATAGAAAGTTCAATATTAATCTTATTAATCTAGCTTAAGTCGTACACAAATATAACGGAGTTTATATTTGCTAGAGTTTGTAATATATGTGACTCTGTCAACTTATTGAATTATATTTATAGTAGAATAGACATTGACTTGACTATGAATAAACTATAAAGTTTAGATAAATGTGATTGATACCTAAATATGGATAAAGTTTTAGAGAAATGACAGTATTTTAGATTTTAGATATGTCATTATTATAATTTGTAGTATTATAATTATAGTTTGTTGGAGTTTGTATTATAGCATCTTGTTAAGTTTGCAATATTATAATTATATATGTGGTGTATTATTTTAATTCCTGCATTTTTTGGGAAGTTTCTATTCATATTTGATTTTACCGTTAATATTTTGTGGTTTTATGGTTTTTGGTTAACCGCAAAGCGGTTAACCGAAGTTATGGTTAACCGATACTCGGTTAACCGAAGTGATGGTTAACCGATACTCGGTTAAAAAATAGTAACCGGTTTCTCGGTTAACCGAAAGTTGGTTAACCAAAACCCGGTTAACCGACCATGCCCACCCCTATTCATTATCCTATCCCGTCAATAAAAACAATATCATATCGTACATATACGAATAACATACGATATCTACCAGCAGCATCCAACACACTTGTGGTTAGAATGGAGCTCTGGTTCACCATTGTTGCCTCTCTCTGCATTGCCTTCTTCCTCAAGTCTCTCCATAATCTCATCTTCCCTTCACCCTCCAACCGTAAAATCAAGAATCTCCCTCCGGGACCCACCTCGTTCCCCATTCTCGGGAGACTGCAGTGGCTCCGGCGATCTTTCTCCGAAATCGAACCCATTCTCCGGAGGCTGAGATCGGAATACGGTCCCCTCATCACCCTCAGAATCGGTCCTAATCCCTCTATTTTCGTCTCCAGTCACGATCTTGCTCACCAGGCCTTGGTCCAAAACGGCGCCGTCTTCTCCGACCGCCCGAAAGCCTTACCCACAACCCGAATTGTGACTAGCAACCAGTGTAACATCAGCTCCTCGCCTTACGGGCCGACGTGGCGGCTCCTCCGCCGGAATCTCACCTCTGAGATTCTCCACCCTTCTCGGGTCAAGGCCTACACCGGGGCTAGAAATTGGGTCTTGGGCATACTGATGGAGAGGCTCCGAAACGAGTGCGAATCCGGGTCGGGTGTGAAGCTGATAGACCATTTTCAGTACGCCATGTTCTGCCTCCTCGTGCTGATGTGCTTCGGGGATAAACTCGAAGAGTCCAAAATCAAAGAAATTGAGAGAATTCAGCGGAGATTACTTCTGGGTTTTAGGAGATTCAACATCCTCAATTTCTTCCCAAGAATCGGGAGGATCATTTTTCCGGATCGGTGGAGAGAATTGATCGAAACCCGACAAGAGCAGGAGCGGATCTTCGTTCCCCTGATTCACGCCCGAGCTCTGTCCAAATCCCGCGAGAAAGATGAAGTCGTGGCCTACGTAGACACGCTCAGGAATCTAGAGCTGCCGGAGGAGAAGCGGAATCTCAACGACGGCGAGATAGTTAGCCTGGTCAGCGAATTCCTCAGCGCCGGGACGGATACCACCTCAACCGCGCTGCAGTGGATCATGGCGAATCTTGTTAAGCACCCTTCAATCCAGGAGAATCTCTACCGAGAAATATCATCGGTGATGGGTCCGCCGCCGGGGAAAATCTCCAGCGGCAAGCCCGTCGTCGGGGAGGAAGATTTATCAGGGATGCAGTATCTGAAAGCAGTTGTACTCGAAGGTCTGAGGCGCCACCCGCCCGGCCACTTCGTGCTTCCGCACGCGGTGTCCGTTGAGGCGGAGCTCGGCGGGTACACCATTCCGAAGAACGCCACGATCAACTTCATGGTGGGGGAGATGGGGCTGGACCCGAATGTGTGGGATGACCCGATGGAGTTTAAACCCGAGAGGTTCTTGAATACGGCGGGTAATAAAGATGAGATGTTTGACTTAACCGGGAGTAGAGAAATAAAGATGATGCCATTCGGGTCGGGTAGGAGAATGTGTCCGGGTTGGGGGTTGGCCATACTGCATTTGGAGTATTTTGTGGCAAATCTGGTTTGGCATTTTGAGTGGAAGGAAGATGAGGGTGAAAAGGTGAATTTTGAGGAAAAACAAGAATTCACTGTTGTGATGAAATATCCCCTGCGTGCTCTACTTCGCCTTAGATAAAGTTTTTATTAATAATTACTAGTATAATACTTTCACTAATTTCCTATCTGTGCTCTGGTTTTTTTATGTGTTGCATCCATGGTTTTAATTTCAAAATAATAAATATCGGATAATGTTTGGAAGTTTGAATGTACTATCAAAATATGTACGTACTTTGATACATGTTGGTTGTTGTGATGACAAGCAAGGGGGGCCCACTGCTTGTGCAAATGCCCCGCTTCAAAATTTAGTACTCCCTCCGTTTCTGAAACAAGTTCCACATTTGACTTCACACATATTAAGAAAATAAATTTGACTTTACTGTGAAGTGCACTGTTTGGCACTGTTTGAACACTGTTTGGCACTGTTTGAACACTGTTTGACACTGTTTTGATGTAGATAATTTGTCAAATAAGGAAATGTTTGAAAGTGGAACTTAATTTTGAATCTGCCCGAAAAGGAAAGGTGGAACTTATTTCAGAAACGGAGGGAGTATTAGTATTTTAATATATTGTATAAAACTTATGTCTTGTCTATCTAGACAAAGAAACCATGAAGTACTCCTGTATTATATAAGGTGAAAATTATGTCAAAAAACATATTAATTGTGATGGTGCAATTCCTTGCAGTTAGACATGTTATTGATATTGTCACTAATATTATTTTAAAAGTAGCATTGATAATTTTTTTGTCAAGTGTATATTAACTTTGTTCACGGTTAGAGGTCAAATATATGACAAAGCTTCTAATATGTGAGATGGCCTTTGTAGATTGAAGGATCTATCTTGAATAAAATTTCGTACGCATTCATTGTTTTTCTCACTAATTATAATTAGATTGATCAATAATTTCGCACAAATCAATAAATTCTTATCAAATTCAAGCCAAAATTGTGTCAAAGCGGTTTGCCACGAAAAATTATCAGGCTCTTGATGGAAAAAAATATGCAAAAACAAGTACAGTGGACATGATCCTAGAATATAATATGATAAATGTTTGACATGATAGTATTATGTTTTAAACAAATACCAACAAATTTTGTGACACAACATGTAGCATTGAGCATAATCCTAGTTCGGAACTGAAATCTTGACCATTTTATAATATGAGAAATAACAAAAATTCTAATCCATTCAGAAACAGTGCAAGGACGATTCATTTCTGGGGTTTTTCCCTTAATAGTACTAAATTGAAGTGAATTTCCAAAACTGTGACTACTTTTCAAAATTGACAAAAAAGAGATTGACAATGTCGCATATTAGGAACTAGAAACCATGATGTCACTACAAAAACTTTATGTCACTGTGTTCACTTTTTCACGTCACTGAGAGTGGTCACCGATCAATTTTTTGCACGCCAATTACATTGTCACTGTCACCGTCACAGTGACATCGCCACAGTAACGCCGCCCCACTCCACATCCCCACACCACCGCAACTGCCTATCCCCCACACCATCGCCACTGCCTATCCCCACACCACCACAACTGCCTATGCCCACACCACCGCCACTGCCCCACCGCTACACCACCGCCACTGCCTCACCTTTAGACCACCGTCAGTGCTCCACCCTCGCACCATTGTCACTTCATCACCACCAGCCCCACCCACCCTTCCCACCTCCCTTCGTTGTGACGCAACCGCCGCTCAACGCTGATCTAAGTCTCTGTTCATCTATTAACCTATCCGCTGCCCATCTCCGCCGCCACAGCCTTCACAACGAGATCCGTTTACCGACAAAGAAGAATGGAGAAGAAGAGAATCGTGTGGAGGCGAGAGCGGCGTCGGATGGTGGAGACCTGGGGCTGCAGCTGAGAATGATGTCGTGTGGTGGAGACCTGGGGGTTGCGGCCTAGAAGAGCGTCAGCTGGTGGAGACCTGAGTGTTGCGGTCGAGAGCGGCATCGGCTGGTGGAGGCGGTGAACTTTTCTATCTTAGACAGGGCAACAGAGTGGTGGTGCCGGACTGGTGGAGGCGCTGGGTTGGTGGAGGAAGATGATGCGCAAGACCGCTGGTGGAGAAAGAGGAGGATGCCCATATCTGAAGAAATGATTGAGCGGAGGGAGCCTGGGAGGAAGGTAATAAAGACAGTCGGCGAGGGACGTTTAAGTCAGTTCACATACTTTTACTACCTTTTTTGTCCACACGAATTGCAGTCATATATTTGTGCATTGAAAGGTGAGAAGTAATATTTATGCCATTGTTTCTTCATTTCTAACCCAAAATGTGCATTTCTATCAAAAAGCCTAATATCACTTTTTTTGAATTCTCTTAATGAGTTCAAAACTACAATTATAATCCATAGATGCACATTAATTGAAACTGACATTGAATAATACATTTGTGAATTACAAATAATAATCTGAACGGATATGTTGGGAATAACAGGATCGTGCTAATATGAGAGAAAAACACTTCTATTACTTTCAAGAATAGAAATAAGAGACATACAAGCTCTAACTAAAACTCTCAAAACGCCTCACATATCTCTCAAGGATATTCATAACTCAATCTTGGTTGTGCTATGATGATCTATGATCTAATTTACTTGATGATAGAAAGACTCTCCAAGCTCTCTATTTATGGCACCAAAACTTGGTACTAGGAAGGTGGAAGGAAGGTGTGTTGAAGCTAGGAGGAAGCTTCAATGGAGGTGTGAGGAAAGTGGTTCCTTGGTGTGAAGAGACTTCCCTTGTCATTCTTGCACATGGAGGAAGCTACATGGAAACTAGAAATTGGATTCTTCAATTTGCTTGTACTTGGATATGTCCTGGAAATTGAATTCTTCAATTCTCCCCTTCCAAGCATATTCAAAACAAGCATCCCAACTATGTCTCTGCATAGTTCTAGCTTATCTCGTGTCACCACCTTCGTCAGCATGTCTGATGGATTCTTCTTGGTGTTGATCTTCACTAGTCTCAACAGTTGTTGATCAATCATCTCTCGTATCCAGTGATACCGAACATCAATATGCTTTGTACGAGAATGGTACATAGAGTTCTTGCTCAAGTCTAGAGCACTTTGACTATTACAATGTACCTTGTACTCTTTCTGCTGGGTCCCAAGTTCTTGGAGAAAGCGCTTTAGCAACAACATTTCCTTACCTGCTTCAGCGGCAGCAATGTATTCTGTTTCAGTTGTAGATAAAGCAACACACTTCTGCAATCTTGATTGCCAAGAAACAGCTCCCCCTACAAAAGTGTAGATATATCATGAAGTTGACTTTCTACTATCAATATCTTCAGCCATATAAGCATATGTGTAGCCTTCTAAGACTGGATTAGCTCCTTCGTAGCAAAGACATAACTTCGTGGTACCTTTTAAGTACCTGAGAATCCATTTGACTGCCTCCTAATGCTCGTTCCCGGGGTTAGAGAGAAAACGACTCATTGTACCCACTGCCTGTGCAATGTCTGGCCTTGTACATACTATGGCGTACATCAAACTTCCAACTGCTGAAGAATATGGAACTGCTGACATCTCCCCGATCTCTTCCTTGGATGTAGGACATGTTCTTTTGCTTAACTTGAAGTGATTCGCAAGTGGAACATTAACTGGTTTGGCATCATTCATGTTGAATCTCTCAAGTACTCATTCAATGTACTTCTCCTCAGATAGCAATAACCTGCGATTCTTCCTGTCTCGAGTGATCTGCATCCCAAGAATCTGGTTAGATGGTCCTAAGTCTTTCATATCAAAAGACTTAGAGATTTATTTCTTCAACTGGTTTATCCTCACTGCATCTTTCCGAACGATCAACATGTCGTCTACATACAGTAGAAGAGCAATGAAGGTACCGTCTCGAAGTTTCTTGATGTATACACACTCATTTGCAGTAGTCTTCTTGTAGCCTTGACTCTTCATGTCTTGGTGCCTCTTTCAAGCCATACAAATTTTGAGATAACTTACACACAAAGTTATCATTTGACCTCTCAAAACCTTCTGGATGATGCATATAGATTTCTTCTTTCAAATCTCCGTGAAGAAATGTTGTCTTTACATCCATCTATTCAAGTTCCAAGTTCATACTTGCTGCCAAGCCAAGTATAACTCAGATTGAGGTCATCTTGACAACTGGTACAAAGATCTCATCAAGGTCAATTCCTTTCTTCTGCTGGAATCCTTTGACAACCAATCGAGCTTTGTGTTTCACCACTTGTCCGCTTGCATCCTTCTTCAACTTGAACACCCATTTGTTTCTTAGTGCCTTCTTCCCTTTAGGAAGTTCTACGATCTCATAAGTTTGATTTTTGTGCAGAGATTCTAACTCATCTTGCATTGCTATTAGCCATTTTTCTTTATCCTTATGAGACACAACTTCTTGAAAACTCTCTGGTTCTCCATCTTCAGTTAACAAAGGATATTCAGATGATGTGTACCTTTTCGATGGTATATGGCCTCGTTCAGATCTACGAACAGTTGGAACCATATGAGAAAAGCTACCATCATCTATGCCTGGCGAGGTGGGTTGTGACTCCCCTTGCTCTGCACTCTCTTCTGTCTCCTCACCTTCTTCTGTTTCTCAGTTTTTCTCATGCACTCCATCATTGTTTCTCAAGAACAATTCAGGTGCTTCATTTGAAACTTGAGCACCCTCATTTGACTTCCGAGACATTGTGGGTTTTTCAATATCTTTTATTGTCAAATCTAATGGAACACAACGTCCCTTCTTCTGAACACTTTTTTCTCCTTAGGATCCCATAACCCGTATCCAAACTCTTCATTTCCATAGCCAACGAAAATGCATGGGATAATTCTTGCATCAAGCTTCTGTCTGAGCTCTTTGGATACATGTGCATACGATGAACAACCAAATACTCTAAGATGTGAGTATGGCGGATGACGTGGCAGGAACTGCACTCGTGTCGCTGACACGGCTCTGACTGACTGATGACGTCAGCGATGACAGCAGTCGTCTTCAACCTCTGACCTGCGTACTATGTGTGGTGATTGAGCGGCGCATGCGGTGGCTTCCGGTGACCAAAAAAATCCCCAATAAATACTAGTTTTCTCCTCTCGACGAGACGAATCCAACGGTGTATTCAGATTGCAATTCCGAGCAACACTTAAAAACACGAATTCTCAAGGATATTCACAACTCAAACTTCAACTCAAACTTGATTGTGTTATGATTATCTATGATCTAATTTACTTGATGATAGAAAGACTCTCCAAATCCTCTATTTATAGCATCAAAACTAGGTACTAAGAATGT